AATTATTATTTCAATTAGGAATCAAGAATAAAAAACTGAGATTGAATTTTCAATTTTTTGGGGGACATTGATAGTCGTACCATGGTTTATGGCGAGCTTTTCGCATAGGTATACCAGAGTTGGACCTCGTCACAATCAAATTCGCTGCCGCTGCCGCTGCCGCATTATTCAAGACTGCGCAGAAATTTGAAAAACAGCCATTAATATCATTATTAGGAATAACTAGTGGTGAGAACTGCAAATGCTGCTGATATGTATTTCGAGCCAAGCGATCGTCCTTCCACTGAAGGGAGCGTACCGACTGCACGATTGGAGTCGAAATTTGAACATTTCTAATATTGCTTCTAAAAATATTTAACTCGACACAAACCGGGAAATGCGTTAAAGAAAAAATTTCTGAGTTAACCTGTAGGTCCTCAACACAATTTAAAACCTCAGCATTTGATAAAAATAAATCGATTGTACTGTTTCCCCGTGTATTACTGAAAGTGAATTGTGCAGGAGAATCATTTACTGTTCTTCCATTTAATACCGCTAGGTTGTTGATGGTAACGAAGTCCAACAGTAAACGCCCTCTGGTATTAGTTAAGGGATCTAAAGATGTACGGGGATGCAAGAGACGCGAACCCATCAAAGCTTCCTCATCCAGCGTATTACTATACAGGTGGGTTCAAATTCTTATTTAATGGGGATGCTCTAGAAGTGGTAAACAAATTTGTCTATTTGGGAGTCGTGTTCACCCCATCGAACTGCTTTCGGATAATGACGGCAAGGGCGGTTTAAAGGGGGGGTAGAGGGGGTAATTACCCCCCCCCCAGACAAAGATTTTTTTTATACACTTAAGAATAAAATTTCAACAAAAGACAACTTCTATAAAGTAGAGCATAGAAGGCATTGTATAAATTGATAGGCTCACCAGTATCGACGTACCTATTACTATACGGTGAAATAAAGGGTATTTCATTTGAAAAAAAAGCTATGGTTGTTTGAAATGTCTGGTTTTGTGTATACAGTATTGCGAACACTCTAAAGAACGTTATCAGATTTTCATAGGACTGTAGATATGCATTGACAACCTGCAAAACATTTAGCTTAAAGCTCAAGTCCTCATAATCGCGAATTGCGAACTTTTTTTCTGCGGAGTTGTTCCTAGTGGTCCAAATTATTTGAAATTATAATGGCGGGAAAATCTCGCGAATGCTTTCAACTTCTTGTGGCATCGCAAAAAATTTGAAATAATTTAACTTTTTGACGAATAATCTGGGAAGAAGTGAGGTTATGTAGTTTATTCGCCAAAAAGTTAAATTATTTTTAACTTTTTTGCGATGCCGCAAAAACTTGAAAACATTCGCGAGATTTTCCCGCCATTATAATTTCAAATAATTTGGACCAATAGGAACAATTCCGCAGAAAAAAAGTTCGCAATTCGCGATTATGAGGACTTAGCTTAAGGATTTCAAATGAATGATATGTGTTGGTTTTTGTTGACATGTGCAAACTGCGATTTTTTGAAAAAATTTCAAATATTTCAAAAAGGGTCGAGTTTTATAGGTAATTCCTAACAAAAAGTATGAAGGATTTTTTGAATAATGAACAATCCATTAATGTTCTAAAATGTAGGGCGTTCCATTTAAAATAACAAATGTCTGTCGCATACCTCATTTACGGAACACCCTGTATATTCAAAAATATTTTTAACTAATGGACCAGTATCAAACAACTTTATAATTTAATTTTTTTTTCCTGCATTACCCTAAAAGGAGATATCATCGTCTACTTGATGATTTTTCCGTCATCCATTCCCCCCCCCCCCCCCCCCAGAAAATCATCTATGGACCGCCACTGAATGACGGACAATACAATTTTACGTGCATGTCAAGCGGCAGGTGCGGTTATGTCACTAACATCTAAAATAAAATACAATTCATTTTCTGTTAATAAGAAGCTGTTTTCTGGTTCTGTTCTGAACTCGTTTAGCAATTGTTTACCAGTCTGGGGGCCTCGATATGCTGATATCCTGGAGAAGGTTCAGTCCTCGTTCTTTAAATCCCTTTTAAGGCTCCCAAAGAATACCTCCCATGCCATAATTAGAATTGAGACAGACAGTCTGCCTCTCTCGTATTTCGTGTTCAAGTCAACGCTAAACTATTTTATTAAACTATTAGGCATGGAGAATCACAGGTTGCCCAAAATTTGTCTAAATCGCCACCTCAATTTATTTGGTGGTAATGCCTCCCCTAAGTTTAATTGGGCTTACAACTTTTACAGATGGTTTCAAGAAATCGGAATAACCCACTTGTGGTCTTTAAATAACATTTCTTTAAAACGTAGTAAACCAGAGATATTAAAACATTTTCGTGAAAGATGTTTGCAGACCGACTATCGAGTGGCACGAAATTCTACGTATACTTTGTTTTATAGTCAATTTGATTTAAATAAGCATTCGTTGAAGTACCTTTATTCTGACTGTGCTTTTTACATGATCAGAGTTATTACACAAATCCGACTTTGTTCGAGTTATAACTGCAATATATTCTGGAATGGCATAGCTTATAGAATTAATCAAGAAGAGCTCTGTTCGGTTTGTAACCTAGGAGTGCCTGAAACATTTCTTCACGTTCTCTTTGAATGTCCTTTATATCGTAGTGTTAGGCCGGCAGATTGGGGTGATATACCGAATTTTGCTCATAATTTGGACAATCTAAACCCTCAACTGGTGAGGGTTATTTTCCAAACCGTTACTATTATTCTTAAACTTACATCGTTCTTAAGAAATGAATAGACCTATTCTTTAGATTTTAGTTTTATCTTCCTATTCTCCTCGTACCTGAATTAATATAGAGTATTATCTTTTGTTCTTTTTGAATTTCAAATTTGGGTTTACATATTTAAACGTGTAGCTAATAAGTATAAGAAATGTAGCATTACTTAGATTAAGATTATTATTGTGCAGAACCTAATGTTATAAGAATGTATATTCTTTTTAAACAATAAAGAATTGAAAAATTGAAATTGAAAATTGAAATACTCCCATAATGACGGGTCACGGATATGATATAATCAAAAAAAATCACAGCACTCAAATATATAAATAACGAAAATAATCACAAAACACAATGACAATAGTATGGAATTCTTAACACCTATTTGGAAGTACCAGTCGTTCTAGTGACTTAACGTATGTCGCTTCTCGAGCACAGAAATAAAATTAGGTTAGGAATTTCCTATTCGTACATGAAATTGACGTATTAGCAATCGACGTTCGTTTTTCTTGGTCATTTTTTGTTTCATCTGACTCGTGATTGATAAATAAGGATGGGATTATTCTAAATGGGTATTGAAAATACTATATAATAAAAAGGAGACGCGCATCTGTAACGATGTCGCAAGGGTATTGGCGCTTGTCAATAATAGGCAATCCTCTTTGCGCTTATAATCCTTGGTTTGTGTCAATCAATAGCTGTCTTTCTCCGTCTCTTTACGTTATATCTTTCTTCTCTCTCGAGTAACGAAATTTGTCCATGACGCTTTTTTCGAATCACTTTCCATTGTCGTCCAAATATCAGACCAACATGCAAAAAATGCGAAAAAATTCCAAAATGGAATTTTTGTGAATTTTTTTGGAATTAGTGCCAGTGGTACGAGCACTCTATCTGTTCCGCGCACTCTAACTGTACTGGACACCCTATCTGTTCTGAGCAATCCAGCTGTTCCGAGCACTCTGGAATACTCCATCTGTCATCTATGTTCCTGTTGTGCACAATGAGGGATAAAATTGTAATTGAAATTCGGTAGAAATAAATCATGTGCATCGCCTTACACGTGGTGAAAATAAAAATTCTTAGAAACTACCCCTACCCCCTCCCTCATACAACTTTAGACTTAGTGTATGAGTCGGGGTCGACGTCATCTGAGAAAAAGAGTCTGGAGAGCAAACAGATGGAGCTCCGAAGGATGCCGAACGATATTCCGTGTGTGGCTAAATTCATCAAAATGTTGCACCGATCAATGGGTTCGGGGGTACCTCAACATAATGCAAATCTCCATAAAGCACACCAGATGCGTCATCAAGTTACCTTTTACCAGACAACCTATTAACTTAAGGATCCTTGGGGAAACGCGCATCTGTAGTACATCACAAGGGTATCGGCGTTTGACAATAATACTTTTTAATCCTTGGTTTGTATCAATTGTTCGTCGGCTGTCATTGTCATTGGCTGTCTTTCGCCGTCCCTCTACGTTATATTTTTCTTCTCTCTCGTGTAACGAAATTTGCTAAAACGCGATGCAGTGGCGGATCTATTATAGCACCATTCTGGGAGGGAGTAGAGCTTTTCAACCAGTGGCGGCTTGTGGTCTATACCTGAAGGGGTTCACACTCAAAATAGGACCCGTTAGGTGCCGCCGGAGGCAGAATATTTTTCCGGGTGCCACGCCCAAAGCGACATTGTGATATACAGGGTGTTCCATTAAAAATAGTGGAGAATTTCGATGTTGAAAAACGGATTTTTTTTATTCGCCCTATATAAGTTTCAAAAAAAATTCGCAACCTACTAAAAGAAACTTTAGGCCAAGAAAAATCGAATGGTGCAAACCGCAGGTAGCTAACACACCTGGTTTAGTTATAAGCATTTAAAATGGGTCACTCTCGGCTGGGACACCCCTGTATTAAAGAAAAAATCTGAGACCAAATGTATACCCATGCATTACCCATGAATATAAAGATGCATTATATCAGGATCAAATTCTAAAACTAGAAAATGCAACGGAATTGATATTTCTAGGAGACTCTTATGGATGAACAAATTAGTAGAAAATATTTGAAAAAAATCTAACGAATGACAAAAAATTGCATAAAAGGCGACAAGCTGAAATCTGCTAAAGCTGATATATTACCATATTTTAAGTTTCTTTACTTTTCAAATATATTATTTTCAAAATTATAGTATATTCGCCTATGAAGTCAAAAAACGGTCACAAATATTTGCCGCCATATTTGCTCTCAATCACTCTTTTCATACTGCTGACCTCTGCTTACACATCCAAAAAACTGCAAATAAAACCCAGAAATATCTATACCTACACTTTTATTTATTGTCTAACTTTCTGAAGAAAAATATATTATAAACACTAATTTGTAACAAATAATTTACAAAAATAAAATAAAATTTACACATTCGATGCAATAAAAGTTTATTTCAACTAAAATAAAATAATATATCATATTTTTTACTTTATGCCTGTATGATTTTTACTTAACTAAATAGAAGGTCCAGTGGAGCTCAATAAGGGTCGTCGTTGTAATCATGATAATGTCCAATGTTTCATATTTCCTCATCCTAATTCCTTCTGGCGAATGATGGTAAGAAATACACACCACTTTCAGCATTTTCCATATCGTCAGCTGATCTTCTCTGTCTTCTGGCAAACGATGGCAAGAAATAAACGCCACTTTCAGCCTTTTCCATATCATTATCATCCACCGATCTTCTGGACCTTCTTGCAAACGATGGTAAGAAATAGACACCACTTTCAGCCTTGTCCATATCATCATCTACTGATCTTCTGGATCTCCTTGCGAATGATGGCAAGAAATAGACACCGCTTTCGGCATTGTCCATATCGTCAACAGATCGTTTGTTGATCCTTTCCATTCCAGTCAAGTCGAAGCTTCTGTCAGTGTAGAGGGAACGTTTTTGTTTGCTCTTGCCATCATCAGTACCGTCTAAGGGTTTCGCTACGGCCAATTGTACGGCCAACACCACGAAAACTACCGCAAGGGCGGCCTTCATTTTGATTTCGGATAAAAATAAGCACTTGTTTTTGCAATAACGCACCAATGTAATATCAAACTTTTTTAATGGAATATTTCGCAGTTCGGGGTTTATATAGTTGATCTCGGATCGAAATTAAATTACCATTAATTTGCACGTAGGTAGATAAATTGATGGTAATTACAATTATAGTGCATCAAATATTTGCTTTCTCTAGATTTACCAATGACGTTTGTTTAACCAATCAGTGTGTATCGACTTTTGTTGGATGGCCAAATATAGTTATAATTCGAACTTGGGTTTTTATCTTTTAGATATTCACCTAATTGAAACACTGAAAAATAAAGAGAGGTATCTGACAAGTGGCTAAAAGGAAATTTTCCGGTACGAGAACTGTCAAGCAGTAGATACCGAATGGAAAAATCCGATAGTAACGTTTTGGAGTTTTAAGGCATAAGGAAGTTAATCAAACGAAAAAAATATCAGTAATATTTTGAATCCTCAAGTAAGTTGGCAAATTGGTGACTTTTTTGTTTTGTTTCATACGTAGGTATCTAATTAATTATACCTATAAAGTTATAACCAAATTAATATGAAACTCACTAAATGACTTACAAAGTGTTTTCTAGAATGTCTTATAATTATTTGTTCGACTCTTATTTTTAAACTTTTATCTTCCAAGAACCGATGTTCTGGTTGCCTTTTAACCCTAGAAGTTATTCCCACAGGAATAACTTATTTTTGCCTAGTTTGTCCAACTTATGCAGGCATACCCAAACCTAGACCTGATTATTGGTGAGCTCAGCACTTTAATGGCTGCCTAACTGTCTTTTTGTAATTTCTGTCAAGATTGAACTCAGTATATCTACTTATAGCGTTTATTTCCGCCTGAAATAGGTATGTCTGGATGTTTACTCATTGCTTCGGAGAATTTAATTCCAGGCCTAAGTGATCCGGCTCCGGTCCCTTGTTCAGTGCTTGACCCATCAGTATACCATTTTATTGCGTTCTGCTGCATTGTAAGGATGGATGTGATGTTTCCTTCCCATTCTTCTCTGCCTCTTATCACTGTTGTGAAGGGTTTGTCAAAATTATGTTTTGATCATATCATCCCTGGGGAGTTCGAGGAGTGGAATAAGCTTGATTAGAGATGCCAATTCTCTCCTCCCTCGTGATTCTAGTTATTGCTCGTCTAGAAGTCCCCTCCACCATGATATGAACAGTTGCGAGACTAACAATTTGTCTCGATGGCTGCTGTGAAACAAGTTCTCAATGCGCCCGTAATACATATGCTCGCCAGGCGCTGTAGTTTATTGAGAGCCCGTTTTACGTTCTGCTTCTCAACTTTATTGAACCAGACTATCGATCCATATAGTAGGGTTAGTCTTACTATCATGGTGTACATCCATCTCAAGGTCCCTGGTTTGCATCACAGGGTTTTGCCTGCAAGTTTTCGGCTCACCATTTGAGCCCTTATAGCCTTGGTTACAACTCCTTCGATGTGTTTTCTCTATCTGAGTTTGCATTGGAGCATTATGCCGAGATATCTGATGTCCGCTACCGGTGTAATGGTAGTTTCGTGTATTCGGATGTTCTTCATTCTAAGCAGTTCTCTCTTCCTAGGCACTACGGTGGCTTTGGATGGGTTTATCTCCAGTCCCATTTCGTACCATTCCTCCGTTGCTTTGAGCCTAGTCTGTATGAGTTCACACAGGGTGCTCTCAAACTTTCCTTTTGCTATAACCACGATATTATCGGCATACCCAACATAGTGCAAGCCCAGGTTGTTCAGTATTCCTAGTAGTCCATCCACTACTAAGCTCCACATCAGGGTACCTATTCTTGAAACCTGGTACCAGCGTTCTGGCGAACGATTGCTCTCTATCTTTCTCAATGATATGCAAATGATGACATTAGTAACAAAGACAGAACACTCATTCTCATAGGAATGCTGTTCCCCTTTTTCAGAAAAAAAGGCCCTGGGGTGAGCATACTCCGCCATCGGGAGTGCTCGAGTGATGTTCAACTCCATAGACTCAGTGCCTACTGAAGACTCTGCTGTCCTTGTGGCGAGCATCTCACACGTCAATCGCACCTTTTCAAGATAGTGAGGATCTGATATAGTTATCTACTACCTTTTCGATTTGGGATCTGTCCCATCCTTCTTGCCTGCTCTAGGCATAAAAGTGGCTCTTGCCCTTCTCCATATTTCAGGTATATATCCCATCGCCATGAAGTGTTTTTATTTTTGGTATTCTCTAACACTGATATAATTTCTCAGGCTTTTTTTTTTCGGGGTTTTTAATGTTTGATCTTCTTTACATTGAACATGGAGGTAAATTTTTTAGTTTGGAATTCAAAACTTTGGTATCAATAGGTGATTATGACAAGAATACTCCTATTTTTTTGGCGACCAAATGTCGATTTTCTTTTAATCTTCAAAGTATATTATTTATCAGTCAAGGTGAGTTTCGCATTTCAAATGATATCGAAAATAAATTAATATCCACACTGGCTATGACCATTCAGTTTATCAATAATAAACTGGAATTGATTTAAATAATTATTCTATTCCGGGAATTTATTGCTAATAATTATGTAGTGTTGAGAATATAATTACGTCAATAGTTGAATAGTAGGTATACTCACCATGTTTCAATTCATATTATTTGCAATAAATAATCTACCTGATTGAAAGTATTGGAACCATTTTTCTTACAACTAAACACAACCAATGAGCACAGGAGCTGACTTCACTAAACGTCTTTATTTCTTTAGGCAAGTTCATTTTTATCAATATTAATTGTGGCAATACCAGGTAAAATATTAACAGTGTGTTCAATTTTAATAGCATGCGTTTCAATTAAAATTGATGAAAAATTTTCTTGCCTCGATTAGGATTTGAACCCAGGACCCTGGCATATCCAGTGCAACGCTCTACCAACTGAGCTACCGATACCTGTTCCATTTCTACCTTGTCAATCAAGTCTTTCATCAATTTAAAGGTGTTAGTTGTGAAAACCAACGGCAACTTTCGGCGGTCACCACTGGTATAGGAGTGAGTTAGAAAGTATAAGGGAAACACATTCACAATTAATGGTTGTTTAGAATCCATTATCCCTTCAACCATAGATGCGTCGTCGACATATAGAGACATCAGCAGGCATCAGGATGGGACGCCCAACCATCAATATCAAGTCAATAAAATATTAACGTCCGGCCTGATAATTATTGTTAATTTTCGAGACTAATGACCTATTTGGTTCTCTTCCAAAAAGTCAACTATAGTCAAATTTTATAGGTGATTATACCTGACTATTTCACTAAAGTTCATTTCAGGAAACGAGATAGTGAAAGTAAACAAACTTTGACAGGTAAGTCAAATTTTATTGGCTAGAAAAGGATTATACTCCGCCCTAGGCAGGACCGTCTTAGGTTGTTTTGTATTTTTCTTCTCTGAATATATTTCCGAACAAATTCTTCAGCGGAATCCGTTGAACTTGATATTGTTTTAACCTAAATTGCTCACTAATTAACAATAATTCACCAAACACTATTTAAATAATTGTAAAGTACTATAAAATACGGCATTAAACTTATTGATTCATATGACAACCTGACAATAATAAATGTCATTAGTTGTAATTCATATTTTTGCAGTCCTATGAATTTTTAAGCTCCGCCTGTTTGTTTACCTCTACTATCTCGTTTCGTGGAATGAACTTTAGAGTGTATTACACCGGCAATAAATTCTGTATCCAGCTGACAATATTGCTACCTGGACAATACCAACAACATGGTATTTCAGCGACCATTTTTTGACATTGTCAAACTGATATTTTTAATTTGAAGTTTTTATTCATATTTTTGCATTCTATTTATTTTTAAAATTTTACGAGAAATAGTCATGACGAATACCACTCGAGAAAAAATTTTGTATGCAAAATTGTTCTCAAGGTTTAATTCAAGTTTGTTGCTTTTCGGCAATTTCGCGAATGACATTTTTGATAAAATCACTCGCCTAACGGCTCGTGATTTTGTCGAAAATGTCATTCGCAAAATTGCCAAGTAATAAACTTTCATGGGGTGGACGATATTGTAAAACGTATCGCAAAGCAAAAGTGAAAATGTGCAGGCCACGTCGCAAGATCTGAAGAGGAGAGAAGGACGAAGAAACTCATTGAATGAATACCATCAAGATCCGACAACTGAAACCGAGGAAGACCTCCCATTCGCTGGACAAGACTACCTAGAAATGATCTCATCAAATTGAATCGCAACTTCTCAGAACAGAGATAAGTGGAATATTTTAGAGGAGGCCTATGTTCAACACTAGACGTGAAAAGAGGCTGTTTAATGATGATGAGACTAGTCCATTTAAAAAAGAGAGAGAGCAATCAATAAACCGGTATTTGCTGTCCCTATAACATTTGACTAATAGTCCAAATCCTGGTTCAAAGATGCTAGAACACGTTTATTCGTGCGCGCAAACTCCGTTCGATTTTATACCGTTTGAAGTACACATATACAAAGCTTTGTTCTAAACTTAATAATTTTATCGTATTGTATAATTAGTGGTTCGACCGTTTCGTCTATACATTTGGTCTCAGATTTTTTCTTCAATTTTTTTTATACTTATTTGGGTTTAGTTCACAGTAATATGGAAGCAGTCTGAGTACTGATGTCGCACTTTTTTTTCCATTTCATCGACGACATATTTGGTAAAGCGGTGTTCATGCTCCTGAACTATTTCTAGAAGTTCTTCTTTCACCATATTGTCTTCAAAGTTTATTGCTTTTTCCAGAAGCCACCGGATGATATCTCCTTTCTCCGATGAAGTAGTCGGTAGAGCATTTTCAGGAATGGCGTTGTCCATAACGATTACAGATCCTGGGAGATAAGATACAACATTTTTTGAAAAGATTCTTCAAATTTTCTTTATGATAATCAACCTGTACCGTTGGACTGCAATGTTAAGGAACCACCTTTAACGTAGCCGTCATCACTGCCAATATGTGTAATGATGAGCCTTCTTTCTTTTCCTGAAGGTGTTACTCCAAGGTCGTTGATGAATTCCACATTATCAATTTGTTGATCACCAATCTTAATATGTTGACATGTGAGGAGATGTACTCCTGTGGAATGT